GGTCTCAAAAGGTAGTAAGGTCAATCCTCAGAATGATAAGTTAACTCTATTGTATGTCTCAGATCAAAAGGTGAAAGAAAGAGGTGAGAGAAGAAGACAGACAATGACAGAATCAAAGACAGAATCAGACAGACAGAGAGAGGCAAACAGACGGACAGACAAACAGAAAGAGAGAGAAAGAGATTAATTCACGCCATCTTCCTCACTACAGAACATAGGGTTCGAGTTTACTAATCCTGACACCGTGAACGGAAAGGAACTCTTCGAAAAGGACTTGATGTTGACGCCTGAACAGTGGCATGCTATACGTGAGAGGAAAGCCATTTCAAATGTAATATTTCGCTGGCCACCTGGACCCAATGGCTATCCCCTCATTCCTTACCGCTTCGTCGATCCAGGTGCGTAATATAAACTTCTAAGGCATCATTGACCTCTTCACGTCACGGTACATTGGTCCTTATGTTACTATTACTCCCAGAACATATTTATCATCGTCTTTTTCTCAATTTCAAAATATTATCAATGCACCTCAGCCGCCATTTCTGTAACGCAACTAACATGGGCTACTTTGCTTGTTTTCTCAAGTGCCATGGAGAGAAAATTTAAGGTTACATCATCATCATCATCATCATCATCATCATCATCATCATCATCATCATCATCATCATCATCATCGTAAATTCACCATCATCAACAATTCATCATCATCATCATCATCATCATCATCATCATCGTCACTCTTCAGCTTTCTGGTGATGTTACGATATTGTTCTAAACCAGGCATAGACATTTAACATGGACAGTGAAGCAGTTTATCGTCACGTCCACCTTACGATATTTTCAGTTTATAGTCACAGTCTTTTACCCATTTATGAAACAAATCCTTCATAATATTTTTTTAAGTAATATGATAATGTGTCTTGACATTTAACAGGTGAGTGAAGTAGTCTGTGAATACGTTGATTTTTCCTACAGTTGAAGCATTTTTCTTACTTGTGAGACACACAGTCCATAATAATACCAATGCTAATCATGGCATATGAGGAATTACAATGAGACAACCCATAGGCACATCTCTCTCTCTCTCTCTCTCTCTCTCTCTCTCTCTCTCTCTCTCTCTCTCTCTCTCTCGTTAAATCTCATATAAACGCGATCATTTAATGTGGGTTTTATTTTTTTGTCTTTATAGTGAACAGGCAGGCAGTTGAGGATGGAATCAAGCACTGGATGGAACACACCTGCATCACCTTTGAGGAGACCTTCAACACCAACCAGCCACACCTGCAACTTATACAGGGCTCTGGGTGTTGGTCTTACGTCGGGCGTGTTTATTACTGGAATGGCCAAGATTTATCTTTGCCTCCTTCCTGTACAGGGGTGAGAACGATGATACAGTATATTTTCCTAAAAACGTCTAAATGATAATGAGAATGATTTCGTTGATATATCAGAAGATCATAACTCTATAGAATGGCTTTATTAATTTATGTACTCATCATTGGGTCACCGAGTCATCTATGGTCACTCGTGTGTATCAACAACATTCCTGTCTTGGTACTTGTTGTCTTTCCCTCAGTTCGGCGTTGTTGTTCACGAGATTGGTCACGCTATTGGCTTCTGGCACGAGCAGTCCCGCCTCGACCGAGATAATCATGTCCTCGTTATTTTAGACAATATCTTAGAGACCAGACAGAGTAACTTCAATAAACTTAACAACGCCAACGCCTATGGTGTACCGTATGATTATACATCGGTCATGCATTACGGCGATACGGTAAGAACTTCATGATTACTCCTAGCAACATTGTCATCATGGTGTAATGTGTATGAAGAACTACATATATATTTTCAATGCATAGCCTTGTGTAAACCATAGACGCTTTATTACCTCCACCTGTATACCCTCGCAGTATTTCACAAAGAACGGGAACCTCACCATTGCTACTACCAATCCACTCTACCAGGAACTTATAGGACAACGGGGCGGCCTCTCTCACTATGATAAGCTGCTGGCCAACCTAATATACAACTGTACTGGTGTGTGTGTACCTATGTGTATTACTGTGTTATGGTGCGTATTGCTGTGTTTGTTACGGCCTCTTCTCACACGTGTATGACTGCTGGCGATGCTGTTACGTCTCCAGCATCTCAGCATCTTAAAAGTGTCGTTGTACTTTAAGTCTCTGTGGAGTATAATGATGACTCCAGCTTCTGGTCCACGACAGAGAGATAAGAGGATCATTAAAAACCTCTAATAATTGTCATGACTCCAAATAAATAAGAGACGGGTAGATTTTATCAATAATTATAACTATAGACAGGTACTTTATGTATACTCGTATGTAACCTGTTCTTCTGTCCGTAGACATGTGGATGAGCAATTGTGGGCTTCGTTCAGACCCGTGTGAGAACTACGGCTACATCGGTGCTGACTGTAGGTGTGTTTGTCCTTCCGGCACTTCAGGAGACAATTGTACACTCGTGACCAGCGACTACTATGGTAAGATCACCAAACCCTCGACAGTATTATGCTGTTGACGACTTGGCATTAATACTTAGCTTTATGTTGTATTAGTTTTTTTTTTAGTAATTACAGGTAATTTCTCTATTTTAAAGGCTAAACTTGTCTTTAAGAAGTATTATCCCATTAACCCATTAACCAGAACCTATCAACTTCATCCCATTAACTACAAACTATCAAATAACCCATTAACCACAACACCTGAATATAATACCTCTCATTAGCCTATTTAAAACTGACACAACTACCCACGACCTATTAAAATGCACTAAACAATAAACTCCACCTATAGATTATAAATAACATACTAATAAAGGAATCATTCTCGTGACAGATGATAAATTCTCCAGCTGTACAGAAGTCATCACTCAGCCTGGCACTATTACCTCACATCCTGACTACCCTGACAATTACGAAGCAGGTATTATGGTTTTTCTTCTTTTGCAATGGATCCCTTGATGCTGGACTGTATATTTTTTTTTAATAAAATAGATTAATTGACATACGTATACAGTTAGACCATACATACATGCATACATACATACATACAGAAAAGGGCCTGCAGAATCATGCTCGGCGCAGAATACTCAGGCTACACCAACGCTCTCTCCACCCTGGAAATGCCATCCCTCAGTGACCTCCACCACCAAGCACTGGAAAGGTTTGGCCGTGGACTACTGCACCACCCTCGCCATCGCCACCTCCTGCCACCTGCAGCCCCCCACCCAACTCGCTCAGTCCGCCACTACAACAAAATTCAGCCCATAAGAGCCAGCACCGATAGAAATAAGAACAGCACCATCCCATCTATTGTTAAAATAATAAACAACTCCTTATTTATGTACTGTACAGCCCTGTAAACGTATTCAATGCATATTATATCATTATGTCTAAATCAAATGTAAGTCTGTATATTTTCAGCCACCGGCTGCAACTCTATTAATAAACCGTTTATTATTATTATTATTATTATTATTATTATTATTATTACAGTACATATATAGTAGTTATAAATGATAACTACCAAGGTTATCATTAGTAAAAAGAACACTAACTATAATACCTTGTCCACAGGGTTAAGATGTACCAAAGTTATCAAGGCACCTGTGTGTTTCTTACCTGTCGTCACCTTCAATAACTTCCTCATATATGGCCCTCTGTCTAATGGTCAATGTTACTGGGATTTCCTGTTGATCAGAACCTTCAACCTCTCCGCCGGGGAAATGTGAGTAAGAGAGAGGAAATGGTAATTCAGAAGTATCCGAAATAATCAAAATAAAACATGAATTGGAACATATGATATAGTTAACGTGTGTCAATATATAAATTGGCTAAAACACACCAGAAGTAAGCCACATCTAATACATTAATTATAAGACACAATAAATTAGTATGAAAACAGTATAGAATTTACTTTGTTCACCAATTTATGATATTCTTAATACATATTTGACCCTCTTGTAGGTACTGTGGCTCGCAGATATCTCCCGGAGTTAGTTTCACGTCTACGGTGGATGAGATGAGTCTGTACTTCTCCACCAGAACGCGTTTATATAATGGATGGTCAGCCAACGTAACCTTTGTACCTATTGATGGATGCTGGTGAGTATATTACTAATAGTCCGGAATCTATGACTTTCAGAGAGCGAGAGAGAGAAAGAGATAGTTATTCTCATATATAGAAAATGGAATTGAATTCGATATACAGTCTCGTTCAGAATTCTTTGAACACTGCTGGAGACAGCTGGCAACTCAAGACAGTTTGTTACTATAGTACGTTGTTTCTAACCATGACTTGGTACCAGTAATTGCAGTAAACCCCCATGTCCAAACCCTCGAGTCATGCTACCACAATTAAGAGGTTAGGGGGTATTTATGAGAAGTAAAGTGACTAAGAAATAGCTAACATCGGGAATTAATTAAGGTAAGAAATTGAAAGAAAGGAGGTTTGAAGAGAGAACCAGTTAAGAAATAAAGTAAAGAAGAAAAGAAGATAGAGAGAAAGGAGAAAATTAAATATAATCACAACACCTTCCAACAAGCTGTTTAAAAGTTGTAGGATATAGATAAAAAAAAATAGTATATAGAAAGAATCCCCAATGGTGAATATCTAAGCTGAAGTTTTGTTACGTAGCCGCCATGGGAATAATTGCAGGCTATTTCATGTGCCCCATTTGATTTTTGGTTTGCTTTTCAGGATTATCAGTAAAGATACTGCTACCACTACTACTTCCACTGCCACCACCACTACTACTTCCACTGCCACCACCACTACTACTTCCACTGCCACCACCACTACTACTTCCACTGCCACCACCACTACTACTGCAACTACGACTACGACTACTACTACGACTACTACTACTACGACTACGACCACTACTACTACTACTACTACGACTACTATTACTACTACTACTACTACTACTACCACAACCACTACTACCACTACTACTACTAATAATGATAATAATACTGCTACTGCTGCTACTGCTACTACTACTACTATGACCCACGCTAGTACTACCACTACTATCACCACTACTATCACCACATGTAAATTACAATACATTAATAACTGTTACTACTGGACGTCGCCATTCTTCGGGAGCAGAAACTACCCCGATAACTCCAAGTGTTCGCTGGTTGGAAGCCCGGTAAATAATGATGATGAACCTTTACTCTTCATAAACATACGAGTTCCTTGAGCGTCATATAAATATAATGTAGGAATTACGTCACATAAGAAGTTAAAGTTTTATTTCTTGATGTAAGTTCAGTTTCTTCTGCGATATTGATGATAAGAGTTCAAAATTATCTCGTGATTAGAGTAAATATGTGGAATAGAATGATAGAAGTTCCTATAATATTAAACGAAGACTCCAGGTTATCACGTCCAGCCATTTGATTTGTATGTCCAGGTGAAGATTAATAATGATATCGTTAGCTCAGTATCACCTAACTATAGTCATCTCTGGTAACTAAACATCACATAATGACGTATTTCCTTCACCAGAGCCACCAACAACCATATGCTGCGTTCTTCCTGGCTTACCCCTTCAACCTTCGCGCTAATGATACCGTCACTGTTACCAGGCCTTACAACAGGACTTTGACGTGAGTGAACTAGAAACATAGATATTCTCATTTATGATTCTGTGTCGTCAGTTCTAAAATAACCTGTGCTTCTATAGATTAAAACGTCTGAATGTGTGTGTATGACTATTCAACTATTACAGGTAAAATTCTAAACTAATTCAGGTCCAGAAGTCATGTATAATTCCTCGTTAGTAAAAGTTTACCATTAGGTAGCTGATTAGTGGTGAAGAGGATAAAGAAATAAAGTCTTGGGAAAGCGAAAGGCAATATTAGCAATAGGTTACCTTCTGAGGCTAAGTATTTTGCTTGGTTTACTGTACCTCGTGAGGGTGATCTATGCACTACATACACTCACTTATGGCATCTCCTTTACATATTCTCCTCCAGTTTTTCATCTGAGACGAACACATGGCAGCTCTCTTCCCCGAGCTTCAGTTTTAACATGACTTTCATCTCAGACGGTCAACACAACAGCAAAGGCTTCAAAATCGCCATCTGTCCAAAGATAACACCCTGTCATAAGGTGAGGCTTCAGTACACCCTATCATAAGGTAAGGCTTCAGAATACCCTGTCATAAAGTGAGGCTTCAGAATACCCTGTCATAAAGTGAGGCTTCAGAATACCCTGTTATAAAGTGAGGCTTCCGTACACCCTGTCATAAAGTGAGGCTTCAGTACACCCTGTCTTAAAATAAGGTTTCAGTACACCCTGTCATAAAGTGAGGTTTCATAATACCCTGTCATAAAGTGAGGCTTCAGAATACCTTGTCATAAGGTGAGGCTTCAGTATACCCTGTCATAAAAACTAAGACAGAACAGGTTGCCAGTGTCACCAAAGTCAAGAAGGAGTGAAGAAGATAATGAAATTCACCTTACACAGTCAAAAAACATCCTATTTTAATTACTACTGGCACTGCATCTTCCATCTATATTGCATTTCAACAGCTTATTCACCATTCTCAGATTTATCAACTGAGAGATAGACTCTGTTATGATTTATTAGATTCGCTACTTTCTATTATATTACCATTGTTATAACTGTTTAAATATGTCATTTTTTACTGTTGTTGTTATTGTAGGTAATCAATGCCGGTGCTGGAGAAAAAGGCAAAGAGAAAACACCGAAGAGAACGAAAACGGACAAACAAGTGACACTGTGTGAATGGTGGATCACTGTAAGTTACTCCATCTCACTAGTTGGGTTAGGGCCGTGTCAGCCCAATATATCGATTTTCTTAAAAATATCAGTATAGGTACTCCTGAGCATGCTGATGCTGGGGTAATTAGTGGTCGTAATGACGCTTGGAAGATTTTAATGATATTTTTTCAATGTAATTACTCGTCACGTATGGGTTTCATAGTGATTTTTAGTGTTTCTGTGTTATTCTAGAAGTACTTAAATAGTTAAGCCCCTTAAATTCTAATTCCGAGAGAAAAGTATATATTCCGTCAGAAACTATAAGCCTTAAGAACTTTTGGATAGGAGATACACGTTTCTGTTTTGCTATACACCATCATTCGCATCAATTATATTTCATATACTGTATATTATCATACATTAGAACACTTACTAACTAATCTCTTGATCTATTTTTTTTTTACTCTAGGCTCCAAAGGGCAAACGAATCAAAGTTATATTGGTCATGAGAATACACCGGAGTTATGACTGTGTCCACGACTATGTGTTACTGAACGACAAAGGAGCGAAAAACTATCCCAGAGACTCCAGCAGGATATACTGTCGTTATGGCAGAGAAACCTTCACGTCTTCTAGTAATCAAGTGTATATAGCATACCAGGGCAAGAGAAATAGGAGTCGAGGCTTGTCTTTCAAATATTTCATTGTGTAATGTCACAGAACTAACTGGATCCCTAATGGATAACTTGTGGAAGGAAACTGGACCAATACATTTTTTTGTATCTAGATTCATTTATTGATTTTTTGTTTAATTTGATTATAAATTTATCTTATCCATAGACTATTTATATACTTAGAAAATTTATTGTTGTAATTAAATTTCCTCCCTTCTGAAAAAGAAATGCTACAGAAATATAATGGAATTTGTCTTTCGAATAAATAGTCTACAGCATCTTGTTTTGTTTGTTTCACTGATACATCTGCCAGGCACTTAGGCAGAAACACGGTCAAGAGCCTTTGTAACTCGTCCTCTCCTCCCCAACTTTACCCTTAACAAGCTATAACCAATATTTTGCCTCTCTCTTTCGCATTATATTATCTCGTTCACTCAATCTCAGGAAGTGTGTACGTTTGTGTAAAGACTTGCAAATTCGGCTCCACAATATATGGCTGCCTGCCTATTTTCTTCCACAAATGCACTGTGCAGTCCAGCCCATCTCTCTCTCTCTTGATTACATGGGGATTACTGACAAGGTTCTGGCCAAATCACATGAGAGAGAGAGAGGAAATCTTCCATTTTTTGTCCTTGTCACTATAAGCATTATGACAACTGTTTAATGTTAATTTTACAGCCAACAGCTTGTAGTGGATTTCTCCCCTACAAACGCTGTTTGTCGCTGCATAGCCGACCCCACGAATTCCCCCGTGTATGCCTCGTGGTCTAGGTCAACCAGCGCCGCCCACGGAGCGGGGGTCAACTACTAAGCCATGCCAACCCCCGCTATTTAAGACCTGGCCTCGTGGTGATCTCTCTCTTTTCTACCTACACCAACCAGCCAGCAACACCTCCTCCTCCTCCGCCTGCCTGGCGGCCCTCGCTCCCGCCGGCGAACATGGCGACCCACAGGCTGGTCCTCCTCTGAGCATCCTCACCAACCAACTCTCTTCTTCTAGCTACAGCCGCAGCAAGCTACACCACCTCCTCCGCCACTGCCTGGCGGTCCTCGCTCCCGCCGGCGAGCATGGCGACCCACAAGCTGTCCTTCTCTGAGCACCCTCACCAACCAGCTCTCTCTACATCACGCTTGTAACCATGCTGCCTTCCCAGCACCAAGCTGCATTGTACATCCAATACAACATGTATACAGAGGGCACATTGTGAGTTTTCTTTCTCCATCCCATCCTGAGTGTGAACCAAACAACCTGTTCCCCACAAGCTCCTCTATGTCAAGGAAATAATAAAGAAACAAAAGATGATTATATCTATTTATTAAAATATAACTTAGGTCTTCACATTGCTTACAAGGTTACAAAGAACATAATATCAGTGGGGGAAAATTGAAGTCATATTAACAATAACAAAAGTAATGGCCGCGTCCACATCGTTTCACAAATTTCGCTTCTCATTAGACTTGTGATATGAGGTAATCAGCCCTTTATTGAAGTATTTTTTTAATCACCTTAATTTGCATATTATTATTAACCTGATTAAATCAAGGATAAATAAAACCGTCTCACCTGGTCTGAGGCTAACAACTAATGGCTATCATTATTAGAGTCTAGAAGCTTGTTCTAAATCTGCCGACACTAGCGAACGCATGCCATCTGGTAAAGCTCCATAGATCACAGAAGGTAGAGGTATCCAACACAGTGGCTTGTGGTCGAATATCCCGGGTCATCACTATCGCTGGTCGACCATAAAGGAGTGTATGTGTGTGTATTGTGTGTGTGTTGTCTACCACTACCTTCTGCTTACCCTCAGAGATAGGAGAGTATCCGCTGAGAGTGAGAAGAAAACGAGAGTATTTTTTTTATTTTATATTATTTTTCTCTTATTTATTTGTATGGAGGGGAACCTAAGGGAGTCAATATGTACACATGGTAACAACATAACAGCTAGTCATATAATATTTATAATCCACTTGAGCTACTCCGAAGACAGAAGATTGCAGCGTCCCTGTTAACTTATATTTAATATTTATTTTACATCCTAAAATTTTTCGATGCCTTTTCATAATGCCACAAGTTAATTCATGGTTTTTAATGCCCATCATAGTGTCCATAAAGACATTAAAAAAAAATTATGCATTTTCACCTGAACTGCTGGGGTAAAAATGTCATTATAACTGGAACGTGTTTATTATTCTTAATTTGGGTGATGATTTCTTGTACTGTCCCTCAAACAAATGTAAAATGACACCGATGTTTTGAAAACGAATAGTAGAAAATGTGGTTCACACTCCTTACTAATTCCGACTATCCATATCTTTAGTATGATCTTATTTAATATTTAATAGTTTTCAGTATTAAACTTTTATGTTATAACCAAAAATCCATTATATTACAGAGAGAAAAATTATCCAGTGGGAAATCCAAAACAAGGGCACGTTTTCTGGACTGCATCCCATTTTCTGTGGCCATCAATTAATTGAAGGGAAGACTGCAAACTCTGGCAGTACGTGGGAGAGTGGACCACCCCCTCAAGATGTACCCGGTCCTAACACCTTGAACCAACACCACCTCTGAGCCTAAACATTTATCTTTGCATATGCTTAATTCTAATGCATTACAGTGTGAACCGAGTAATAGACGCGATGTTAGTCTATCTATACTACGGTAGATAGCATCGAAGTCCAGAGCTGGAGCCAGGTACAACTTGGGAACACCGTCCACAGTCCTTCACCCTTAGGGTGTGTATTAGACCTGTGCCTGAAGTCTGAAGTCACCGCTGATTGGTTCACTGAAGGATCATGAGGAAGTTGTGGTGTCTGGGTTATTTTAAAGTCCTGCTAATTCAATCTCAAGCGGAAACTCAGAATTCGGAGGTCACCACTCACCAACTCTTAACAAATATGAAACATGCAGGTACTTGGCCAGACTGTGGCGACGGGCAGCAGCATCCTTGGAGGATTCATCAGCAATTCTAAAACACTACCAAGGAATATACACAATATAAAAAAAATCCATTTCCCATTAGCGATCATCTGAGAGGCAACGCCCCTTGGCCACATCACCTGCAGTCCAACCTAATACCCTTTACCCTTTTTTATCGTTAACAAAATAATCTATCTCGGTAGTGTTGTTGGCTTGGGGGAATGTTTACAATGGTTTTTATGAAATGTTTACAGTGGAGAGACCCTTGCACTCATCTAAATAACAGTACTGAAAGAACCAGTGGAAGTACTCTAACAAGGTACACTTGAAGGTATCTGTGACGGCACTCGGAGACTGACCTACTACAGGGCTTCTGTCAGCCAGTCAAGAGGTCTCTCACGTCATGTCCTCTTGGCCAATCATGAGGATCAGCAGCATTCACTCTTTTCTTCACCTGTATGACGTCATTTTATCGACACCAATCATGAGCCTTTGATGCAGGGATGATGTCACTCTTCCTAGCCATCATGGGACTCGGACCATCCACTTTGTTCACATATGTTACATCACAGTACTCAGGAGCTGAACTACTGTACATGCCTCGTAACATGAACGTTACCTGAGTGGCATAAGACAATTGCATGTGAGGGGACACAAGGATAGACCACGAACTGTAGGAGTCATGAGAACTGTGTCTTTGCGACATGGACACCCGCACCCTTGGGGCAGGTGGTAAGCTAACCTGTCTACTGTATGTGCTCTTGTGTTGCCTTGTACTGCGGGTAATATTCATGTTTAAGCAATATTCTCTAAATGCTCTCAAGAAAAAGGCCTGTTACATACATAGGTTTGGTTTATCTGCCAAACTTGGACATTCGAGAAAGCCCTTAAGTGGTGAACGAGTGTGACTAAGACCTTAGTTGAGGTTTTAGAATTCATCACTAACCTGTGCACCTACACAATATACTCCACAGGGTGAGTGCTTCTCTACGCTTCCTCGGCTGTCTGGTACTACTCTTGATAACAAAGGCAAAGTGTGTGTGCGTGTATATATATATATATATATATATATATATATATATATATATATATATATATATAGTATTCACAAAAAATAAAAAAAAATTCTTAACCTCACTGAATGGAAATGGAACACAGAGCATGGTGGTGAAAGTATTCATAATTTGTTGGGCGTCCTTGTAGACATTTGTGCTGAACTGCTGCTTGAGGTAAGTTGCCCGCAAGAACCCTTGTAAACAGTTATCATTTTCCAGACGTGAGGCAGCGAGAACGGGAGGTATAGAGAATAAAGTAGCACGTTAACTTAGCGTCAGGATGGCTAATGAGACATTAGCACGAGTGGCAACAGAGCTAGTATTAGGAGCAATAACACTATCAACAAAAGTACCAGTAGCAGCTGCGGTAACATTCTGAGCTTCTTCACTACGCCACTACACACCAAGCCTCATATAGTGTCCAGCACCACCATCGTAAAAATTTTTATATGAACCATAGTGTTTTGTGAACCTCTAGAGGCATCCTGTGATAGTCTTCATCAGCTGCAGTCTTGCTGACTGACTGTGAGGATAAAAGCTAAAATATTGAGGGGATGTATGATAATTTCTCATATACCACCATTAAAGCGCAAACTTTGATGGTCCTTGAAAAATTCAACCATCTCCTTACTGACTTTGTCGTCAAAACTAATAAAGAGGACAATTTATCCTGGCTTGACTTTGCTTTATCGCCATCCCACTCCGTCTTGCCACTTGTCTTGGTATCTAGATACACACTAGACGCCACCAAGAACACAAAAAATACAATGAATATTGGTAACACAATCAAATGGGTGAAAATTACATCCTCTTCCAGGAAGATGAGGCGTGGAGCAGCATAGCAGTGGAAACTCCGTTTTCAGGAGAACTCCCTCGACCACAGAGCCAGAAGGGATTCAATCGAAACCCAGTTTTTTCCCTCTGGCGGCACTAGAGGTAACCGTAAGACTCAGAAACTCTCCAGGTGCAACAAAGATCCATTCTGAATGATCAGGTCTGCCGAAACATTTCAGGCTCCACCTTGAAATATCTTGGCCCATTGGTGAGGTTCAGAGTTTATCTCCTGGTCTTCAGTTTTATTTGGAAGTCACTTGAGGACCAACTTTCGTCATCTACGTCTCCTCTTGAATCCGTCTGAAGCTTAATGCAGTCCATTAAAGTTATTAACTACGTACTCACCAAAGTCCCTGGAAATCCAAAACTTCAACTCTTGAAGTTTTGAGTCCTGTAGACTTCCATAAACCATTTGGCAGTCATTGGGGAGGTGGATGAAGGAGGCTAGTGTCTGGATGTAGATGTGTCGAGATTTGTCACTGGCCATGCAGATAAGTCCAGGTGACATCAAAGAGTCTGGTGACATGACACAGTTGCGCTTCACCGAATGACACAGCTCTGTAGAACTCCAAGTGACAGAATCAGAACTGCAGAACCACAGACGACAGAGAACTACAAAGGTCCTTAAAGGTGAAGACTTGCAGTGCTCCTGATGACACAGAACTGCTTTACCTCTGACCCAGGTCACTTGAGAGTCTCCTGGTCACAGCCTGGTTATATGTGTTGGTGTGATGTTGTTAAAGTTCCAGCCGCTATTGTGAATTCCTGCTGCGTGTTGTGAGTGGCAGCTACTGGTTTGCTGGTTGTGAGTGGCAATGTTTGCTTATGTACTGCAACTGCTGGCTATGACAAACAGTCCCTAGTTGTGAGATGCAGTTTCTAGGTTACGATGAGCTGCTGCTGCTACTTGTGAGAGGCAGCTGCTGACTGAGTGGCGACTGTAGTGCTTGGCGGTGGCTGTGAGCATAGCTAAGATGAGGCTGGGGGTCCACACACTTGGTCCACCGGAATGGGGGTCTGTCACACTACCGCGAATAATTTACTCTCCTGAAAGATGAAAACATAAATTATAGTACGTGGGAATGTTTTCATTTTCTAGTAAATACAAATTATGCATTAGTCATTTACCAATTTATCTATCTAGTTTTTAATAATTAATTTATTTTCTAAGATTACCAAATGAATAGTCAATAGAAATGAGATTTTTCAGATACACAAAACAAATACATTTAAAGTTTGGGACAGTATCTATGGCCCCCCCCAAAAAAAATTATCAACGAAGCATTTATTAGTTTGTTTTGTAATATATTTAATTGAATTTCTACTCCCATTAAGGAATAAACAGCAATAGAAGGAAGAAATAAACTAATTTAATTGAACGTTTACAGGAAAACTAAATATAAATGTTTAAATATTGATAAAATTAGTTTTTTGATTATTTAGCAGAGAAGAGAAAAAAATTAGTCATGTTACAAATTCATTATGAGGAGAAAAGTATTTAAACCAACCTTGAACCAGAGAGAAAAAAAAGAGGGGAGAGGGAACAAGGCCATAAAGTAAGAGAAGAGAGAAGGAATAAGGAAAAACATAACAAGAGTAAAAAAGGGGAAAAAGAGAGACAGGGATATAAAGTAGAAAATTAGAGAGAAAATACTACATATATAGGTTGAGAATATGGAGAAAGAGACCAATAAACTGAAAAGAGAAAGACTACAAATAAAAAAGAGTTGGAAAGATCACTTATAGAGAATGAGAATAATATCAGAAAAAGACATAAAAGAAAGATAGAAAATGGAAAGGCAGCAACACACCAATAAACTAGAGAAGTCATGTATTCTTCCTCCCTCTGCTACTTTCTCCTCTTACTTTCTTTCCCACCTACTCTCCTAACCCCCTCACCTATCTTCCCTACTTTCTTCCAATGCTCTATTCTTACCCTTTTCTACTACCATTGCCCTTCTTCTACCCTCCCAAAGTTAGTTACCTCTCTCTCTCTCTCCCCCTCTTTCCAATCCTCATGCCCTTCCCTCACCTTACTTCTCCTCACTCACATCCTTCCCTCCCTTTCTCAACCACTTCCTTCCATCCCCTTCTCACCCACCTCTTTCCCTCCCTCGCTCCTCCTCACTCACCTCCTTCCCTCCCCTTTTCACCCACCTCCTTCCCTCCCATTCTCACCCACCTCCTTCCCTCCCCTTCTCGCCCTCCCTCGCTCCTCCTCACCCACTTCCTTCCCTCCCCTTCTCGCCCTCCCTCGCTCCTACCCACACACCTCCTTCCCTCCCCTTCTCACCCACCTCCTTCTCTCCCTCCCTCACCCACTCACTCACCTACTATACACTGCTCATAAAAGATCCTCTTCACACTTGGGAATGTCGAAGATTTCAGCAAAGAGCGGCGGCAGCTTAAGTCTGGACCAGTTTGAGCGGAACCAGTTGAGGTGTTCGTGGTGTTTGGCGCCAATCTGTCGCAGCTCTGGCATCTTCATCACCACATTGGGGAAGAGGTGAGTCTCGCTGGCGTGGTTTCGTCCCACCTGCAGGGGAAGGAAAGAGAATATTAGTGATTGGTGAAGTAATAGATCCTAATTAAGGGAAAAAGGTGAAGTAACTATTCAAAAGGGAGAAAGGTGTAAGCATTTTTGTTTTATCAGGGAGAAAATGGGATATAATTACCTGTATTTAGAAAAGAGAGAGAGATTATTGGTTGTCAAGGAGAAAAATAATGTAAACATTGGCAAAGGGAAAATCAGGAAGGATGATACTTTCTCTATACCAACATTACTACTTTTTTTAAGGATGATACTTTCTCAATACCAACATTGCTACTTTTTATGGATGATACTTTCTCTATACCAACATTGCTACTTTTTATGGATGATACTTTCTCTATACCAACATTGCTGCTTTTTTATAGGTATATTCAACAATCTTTTATTTCTACTTTACCAACTCTGCTACTTTTTACATGATAACAGTCGACCTCACCTGAACCCTGAGAGCTTCAATTATCTTATCTTGCTGCTGTTCAATGACCTTGCTGTCGGTAATACCCGGTCTGTCAGCCGTCAGTAGCACCACCGCCGTGAAGAGTGCCAGCTCCGTGTCGTTGAGGTTTAGGTTGTTAAATGTCAGCGCGAAGTTGAATATAGTGGACACGAAGTCTTGCTGTTATGGGGAGAGACGAGGAGGAACATGAGAGATTGGGGAGTTGGGGAAAGTACAAGTGTTGGGGAAATAAGGGGTGAGAGTTAAACCTGACTTAAGACTTGGGGGATTGTTGGAGGTGGGGAGGAAACAGGTGTTGAGAAAATATTTGTTTTGGAGGTACTTGGAGGGGGTGAAAGGGACTAGGAGGAGTTTGAGAAGGATGGCTGCAATCAGAGTCACTGTCATGGTCACGCTGACTGCTGATCTAATTAACCAATGATTCTTATTAAACTCCACGACTGCAAAACATGAGTGAGTTAGCGATCCCTGAGAAGACGTGTTTTTCCCCATAGACGCTACACTTGTGTTCCCTCCCAGAGTCCCGCCTTTGTGAAGACAGTTATCAATGTGTTGTTATTCCACTTTCTCCTGGGAAGCTCAATCTTGAATTAGTCTGTGTAATCAACTCAAGTAATTCGCCAGACCTTTGTCAACCGAGGGTCATCTTTGAATGAGTAACAGTTAGTTTGTTTGTAATTATTGTCATTGCGTGAGTAGCGATCACTGGCAACTCGGGGGTATTTATACCCGTGCATCGCCAGGGAAAGCGTTCCCTGACGCTGCTCCAATGTTTCTCCAGGTCTGTTTATGTGTAGCCATTCAGTTAATTCGGTCAATTGTAGTGAATATCAGTGTTCATCAGTGTTCATGCTTTGACAGTTGAATTGTCATTCACCCAGTGTAAGAGGTAATATAACGTAAACATGTCTGTCGTCTAGACAAGAGAGTTGTTTGTGTTGTCATGCTTCCCAGTCCGTTCCCTGACGCTGCTCCAATGTTTCTCCAGATCCCATTGTGATTCTTGCATCGTTCAACAACGGCCCCGGATGTAGTAGATACCCAGCAGGGACCATATATGAAACCATGGCACCGATGCGGCCTGATTAATGTGCTTCACTGCCTCGTTGGGTCAGACCCCAGACTCGCCATGTGTCTGGCTACTACCGACCACACAACCGTCGTGAGCCCTAGTGCTCTACCCTGGGTTATTCCTTGGAAGTATATGTCCACAGAGAGGGTTGTAACATGTATGTTAGGGATAATTAGTTGGAAATGATTATCTCATGTTGGGTAGTGGACCCCTGCATATGCTAGTGTCATTATTAACGAGGATGTTGAGTAAAGTAATCTACAATGAGTGCCATGTACTATGTATTGTGTGTAGGGCCAAGGAACTGGTCCTATTATGCCAGGTAATGTAACACCAGTAATGTTGTGTGCATTAAGAATGTAAGATCTGAGTAATTACTGTTGAGTAAAGAAATAAGAAAATAAGTAAATAAGAAAATAAGTAAAGAAGAAAGTACTGAGTCTGCAATAAGCCCAGGAATTGAGCCTGGTAGTTATATGAATAATACTATATCTTTTCCCCTTTGATTTCATATTAATAAATTTGTTCTTAGAGTATTTTAGGAGTATTCATTTCTCCCACAGTATTTTACCTTTCTTTCTGTCCAAGTGACTTGATACCAGAATTACCATACCCATGTGCCTAGACCCTCGACCATGCTACCAAAAGAATGTCCATGCTACCAAAAGAATAGGTGACAGAACCAAGAGAAGTAAGTAAGTATGAGGGTGGCGTAGATACAGTGGAAACACGCGCCCTCACATTGGTGGCAGCGGTGGGATTCGAACCCACGCCTCCTGAGAGACTGGAGGCGTGGGTTGCTGCACTGGCAGCGGGCTCAAGTTGGCAACAACACGTGCTCGCTCCAAGCCCATAGACAGTGCAAACAGGCACTAGCCAATCCATTGTTTATCATGATGAAATGTATTAAATAAAACATGTATATGGAGCAAGTAACAAGATCACTAGATTATAAAACGTTGTTGCTGCGAGACTAAGGTTAGGATATAAGTACCTCTAGCAGTATGCCCCACAGGCAGATGTGAACAAAACTAAATGTAAAATATGTGGCCAGACATATGGCCACGCACTCCAACACTATGTCTTAGACTGTGAAAAAATAAAACCTTATAGAGATAGATCCAAGCACGCTGTGTATGCAATGGCACAGCACTTTATCTTTGATGACAATATAGCTGATATACTAAGGCTGTATCCACACTTCGCATCTAGTACCTAATCAAAATTCTATGTACCAGTTTAAACAAACAATGTACAGGAAATTCTCTGTAACATTCATTGTCATGATATCAAAATCACTGGGGTCTGATAAACATCCCTTTGTGGCCTGTACTCTGTAATCCTTTTCGTGCTACCGCTCACAGGGTGAGTATGGGGTGCACAATAAACTAGCTGCTGTCTGTGGCAAAATTCAAATTCAATTCCCCTTCACACCCGAAGTAGCCAGGGAGACTTTAGCCCAGCACTCACATCGAACATCATCTCCATCTGTGTCCTGGTGACGTAGGAGCCATCGCTGAAGGTCAGGGTGTTGTCTAAGGAGCTGACCATCCTGCTCACGTGGGTCAGCCAAAGCTCCAGGAATCCCACCTTGATCAGGATTAGTTGGTCATCCTGCGACAGCTCCGAGAATCCTGGAAAGGTGAACACCAATGTAAAGATACTGGTTTATGCAAGGTGGTGAGTGAGGATATTGAGGGGGTGATATATATAAAGTCAGTGATGCAAAGATACAGCAGTGCATGATATCACTGATGAGAAGATACATGAGTACACAAATTCAGTATTGCAAGAGTACAAGTATACAAAAGGTCAATGATACAAGGATAAAATAGTATACATGAAATCAGTGCTGCAAGAATACAGGAGTACATGAGGTCAGTGAAGCAAAGATTACAGTGACACATGAGATAAGTGATGCAAAAATACAATAAGTAAAAACCAGTTATTTTTTTATACATGAAAATAGACCACAGAAGGGATATAATACAAAACAGTGAAGCTTGACAGTGTGACCTATTCTTCTCTTAACAAGTTAGCCTCTCCTAATATACAGGGGAATATTTACAAGTCAAGCCATGATGCCAACAGCCTTGTGGGTCTTTTGGTGTCATATATCTTAAACAGGTTGAGATAGATCTATACTTTATATGTATACTAAGGAGTTGGTTAAGCTAGGTTAGATTAGCGTCACCTCTCTCTTTCTCTCTCTCTCTCACCTGGAACTCTCTTAGCAAACTCGACGACGCGTTGTATTGAAGGTGTCATGAACACAGCGAAGGTCTGCCACATACTGATCTTCTGCTGCTCCAACGCATCCATAGTTGAGGAGGCCGCCTCAGGGTCACTGGTCACCTCGGACGTATTCTGCCGAGGGTCAAGGAAGAGGTCAATTCAGGTCAAGTGGTAGTTAAGGGAGAAAATGTGATTTGTCATATCTTCATAATTTTTTCACTAGCATCCATATAGATCATACTTTAATATTCCACTCATCCATACATCATCTGTACCAGAATACATGAAACACACACAGAGATACAACAGTACACACACTACTTTGCTGTCACTCAGAATCGAGTATGACGATCATATGGCTATGATAAAATTATATGAGTTATTATGGATGTCACCTTCCTTGGTGAGTTCTGAGGTGACTAGAGAGGCCGATACTGGACCAGCAGAGTAGTTCACAGATGTTGCACATGTGGAGGGCTACATCTAGTGCGGGAGGGGCGGCGGCAGCGTCTTTCCGGCGTTGGTGCTTGTTTGCCTCTGTTTTCAGTTGGGCTAACGCAAAAGTATTGACACCTTCTCGTGTGGTGCTCCTCCAAGTGTTACAGTGTGGAGTAATCGTCTCCCAGCGTTATGTTTACTATTCGTTAGGTGACTGTAAACTAGCTGCTTTGGCAGTCTACTATCGTCCATATGGGTAACATGGCCACTGGCCTGTCCAACGTAGTTGATCATGGATAATGGTAGCCTCGATGCTCCTACAGTTGGTGTCAGAGAGAATACTGGCATGTTCTCTTGTCTTCCCAGCGAACTCGGAGGATGAAATATAGACTACGTTGGTGAAAGTTTTCAAGTGCCTAGAGGTACCTCCTGTATGTGACCCATGTCTCGCTACCATATAGCAGGGTGGGGAGGACCACTGCTCGATATACGTGGGTATGGAGTCTACCAAAGGCTCGAGATGCACATCTGATCCAATGTTGAATATCTTCGTCGATGTCCGCGGTGATGGACAGGTGGGAGCCGTTCCCCGTTTATCTTCCCTTGTGTTCTTATAAATATTGACAATGGAGGCGTCTTTAGGAGCTTGGGAGACTTCCTCCTATTTCCATATATTATCCAGGAGAGAGTGGAGACGGCTGGTAAACAGAAGTCCTCCTGCTTTAAACACTTCGGCTAGGATATCATCAGGCCTTGAGGCTTTGTTATTTTCCATCTGTTTGATGGCAGTAGCTAACTCATCCAGAAATGGAGGATAGCTGAAATGGGTCAGCTCTGAATACTGAGGGACCTGCTGGGTAAGCAGGACACACACACGCACGCATGCACGCACGCACGCACACGCACACGCACACGCACACACACACACACACACACGTTCATCCTACTCACAAAAATTATGGGTTTCCTGACAAGTGCTCGAGTTTTCTCCTCAGTAAAGGCGCAGTTGGCGTGGTGAGCCTGTGAGATGGTGAGTATGATGTCGTAAATGGCGAGCTGTTTGTTCTCCACCTCCCTCGACACCACCTCAGATCCCTCGCCCCGTCCATCTCCCTCTCGTTCTCGAGACCGTTTCGGAACTCGACCATACCGTACAGCTGTTGGTAAATGAGGTCATCATTAGGGAAATTTCATTTGGAGATCAGGTCAGAGTAAAGTTATTTGTGAGGTTTCAGGTCAGGGTAGGTCATGTAGAGTGTTGGGTAAAATAGGGTTGTGTAAGTTACCAGGTCAGGACAGGTCATATGGCGTGTCAGGTCAGAAGGGAATATAGGGTTTCAGGTCAGGTCATGTGGAGTGTCAGGTCAAGGAAGGTTATATAAGGTATCAGGTCAGGGCAGATCATGTGGAGTGTCAAGTCAAGGAAGGTCACGTAAAGTATCAGGTCAGGGCAGGTCATGTGGAGTATCAGCTCAGGAGGGTTAGGTAGGTATCAGGTCATGGGGAGCGTCAGGTCAGGAGGGTTTAGGTATCAGGTCATGGGTGAGTGACAGGTCAGGAAGGTTATGTAAGGCTTCAAGTCAGGGCAGGTCATATGGAGTGTCAGGTCAGAGGAGATGATTCACGGTATCAGTCAAATCCTTCTTCAAAATCCACAAAAAATATAAAATAAATTTCTATGAACCTCCAAACCCCTTAATTTAAAACCCACAAACCAACGATACCATCATTCCCCTTAAGCCATTCTAACATTTAGCAAAATCTGTCTATTTTCTCATTTCATTTTTCTAAACTCTAACTACATTACTTATTAAATTATCGATGCATTTAAACATCAATAATAAGTATATATTCCCCAAACATCACGGCATTATTTTCTATCAACAATTAAAATTACAATAATGAATAATGTAATACAATCCTCTATGTTAGTCACCATTAACTTAAAACATCCCGGTACTTACAATCTCTGGACATGCCGACAGCCAAACACTTCTTGAATCGACAGTACTGACACCTGTTCCTATTCAGTCTGATCACCAAACACTTTCCGTCCCTTAGGCATCTGTACTCGATCTGTTTCTGAATACTCCGCCGGAAGAACCCCTGTGAAGATGTTTTGTATTAGTATTATTACAGAATGATTATTATTAGTCACCAATATCAGAAAAATCACAAATAAATTGATATCATATATAACCAGTAATTAGTTATCTAATTATTATATATACATTGCAGATTATAACAAAAAACTATATCATAAATATTTTTTTTTGTAAAACGAAAAGAAGTAATACAATATTTTCTTTAATTACATTGGCATAAAGTATGGAGCTACGAGCATACACAAATACTACACTTATTAAGGCTCTCTCTCTCTCTCTCTCTCTCTCACCTACCTTACACCCCTCGCAAGACGTGACGCCGTAGTGGTACCCTGAGGCCTTGTCACCACATACTTTACACGGGACAAAGTTCTTGTTGGTGGGCGTGGCTGTGGTGGGTGTGGGCGTGCTATCCGCTGCCTGGTAACTCTGTTCTGTAAGGTAAGACGACACAGTTAGGTGGTTCATTGTTACTGAGTGAATGAAAAGTTCTGTAGTAATAATAATAATAATAATAATAATAATAATAATAATAATAATAATAATAAATAATAATAATAATAAAAGTAATGTAAGAGCTCTCTCTCTCTCTCTCTCTCTCTCTCTCTCTCTCGTGGTGGTGGAAGATAATTCTCCTCCAATGTGTCTTGTGAACTTTGAATATGCTGAAATATATTAAAGGACCGCAGGTGAAAACTGGTTGATTGGAGACAACCAGCCAACCAAGACGAAGAGGAGGAGGAGATATCCTGAGCTCTATGCCGCGATTATTAGATATCACGATAGGAAAGAGTTGTGCCACTGGATATCTTAACCCCTTGTGTACAATATCTTAACCCCTTGTGTACGATATCTTAACCCCTTGTGTACGATATCTTAACCCCTTGTGTACGATATCTTAACTCCTTGTGTACGATATCTTAACCCCTTGTGTATCATATCTTAACCCCTTGTGTACAATATCTTAACCCCTTGTGTACCATATCTTAACCCCTTGTGTATCATATCTTAACCCCTTGTGTACAATATCTTAACCCCTTGTGTACCATATCTTAACCTTCTATACGATGTCAACCCTCTGAGTACGATCTAATCTTTTGAGTGATGTCTTCACCCATTGAGTACAATGACCTATTTCCTCAAATAAACTGACAAGGCATTCAGTGAGTTAAGTCATCGTAGTCATGTTGGTACTCTCAGTGTGTGTGTGCGTGTGTGTGTGTATGTGTGTGTGTGTGTAAGCATTTCTACACTTGTTGTTTCAGCTATACTAACTTTTTCCTGTCGCTTTCTACACTGGTCTTGCAACATTCTCTACCCCTGCCTCTCTCTCTCTCTCCCTCTCCTTCTCTCCCCAACCCTCATTTCTTCGCTTTCCTAAATTTTTCTCTTTTTACTTCTTACAAAAAAGGCAAAAATTGCGAAAATATGAAAAAAACCTATATATATATATATATATATATATATATATATATATATATATATATATATATATATATATATATATATATATATATATATATATATATATATATATATTCAGCACAAAGCATGTATCTCAGTAAGTGCCCTGATTAAAATGCTGACCAGGCAGATTTGACCTGACCTGGCCCTGATAGGATTTCCTATTAAATGAAGACATAAAAACACATCTGGCTGGTTCACTCTAAGACACGAATATAGCCTTTCAAATCACGTCGAAATTGAGACTTTATCGTTGTCAATACATATGTTCTTATTCACAGTTCCAGAGAAGGAAATACTACTGGACGAATTTGTGTTAGTCGGGATACTTGAGTCGCTAAAACAAGTGTGTGAAGATGAGGTGTTGCTTAAGACTGATATAGAACAGGTGAAAAGGCCTGAAACAAAGACCCTTACGTCTATACAACTTTCTAATGGTATACTGTGTAACTCACCCCCCCACCCCGACCACACGCACACACGTACACACACACACACACACACACACACATATACGCACACGCACACACACAGGAGAAAACAATATATTTCCCTAACCGTAAGATTATGTCATATGCCCAAATAAAAAAAAATGTCCAGGTGTAGCATAGTTGTGTAAAGCGTCTCCAAAAATCCTCATGAACCAAAGCGGGGAACTGCACAATACCCACGTTGCGGTCCCAGTGTGTGTGGTATATACTAAGGTGCATTGAGCCGAAGAGTTGGGTCGTGGTGCAACGTTTATCCCCTCCCCCCCCTTCTAAACACTGTTCCTTCAGCGAGATCTCAACACCACCTTCCTTTCCTCTCGACACCTTCCCTCCCTCACAACACTCTCCAGGGAGATTACAATACAATGGGTGGGAGGGAAGGATATAAATGTGATCCTGGCTGGTAGCAGACAGCTGTCGAGGAACGTTTGATAACACCTCAGCCTACGTAACATTATATCGTTTGTTTTTTGTTTTGTTTTTACCTGAAGGAGGAACGTTGCCAGCTGGTGGTCTTGTTCTTGACGAGGAGAGGAGGGGGAGGGGAGGGAGGGAGGGAGGGAGGGGAAGGGGAAGGGAAGGGAAGGAAGGGAGGAGGAGGGAGGGGAGGGAAGGGAAGGGAAGGGAGGGGAGGGGATGGTGCTCCTCTATGGTTGTCATCACCTGTTTCAATATTGTCTTTATATGGTGATGTTATTAGTGCTTTTCATTGGCTGTGAGTATTTCCATCGACACAACTGTTGACCAATGGTGGGATTTTTACCTCCTTGTCGCCTCTGATTCAGCTGGAGTCTCTCTGTGTCTCACTGTCATCCCTATTAACATTCAGTCATTGCCATTGGTGGTTCTGTTGTTGATAATGATACGCGTTGTCATCCGACGTGATGTTTATCCCTTTCCCCGTTAGCTACAGCTGTTACTACCTCTAGTGAATCTGTTAACAGGACAGGATATTACTGTTTCCCTGGTCTCCTTCTGCCTCATCTCCTACTATTATTAATGCATCTTATTCCCCTCCTGTTATTGTGTACCTCCTTTATTATCTATTCAATTCCCTCTTTATAATCTCATTCTTCGTATTATAATTAGATTAACGAATTTCTATACCTCTTCATCATAGATGTAAAGGTTTTCCAACGAGATATTTACTCCTTCTGGTCTGATTTTCTTATTTTTGTTATCAGAATGAGAATTAGTTGACTTTACAGTATACCCCGAGGCTAAAGGTCACCGCTGCATGATATACATACACCGTGAATGTTAACGGATGGCAGAGTGAAGTTATGCATTACGGCATACAGTATTCATGATGAGATGCAGTGAACCCTTCCGGCGGATTATTTTTTTTTATGTCAAATGGTTGAATCGAGTTCCTCTTTCACCACTGTTAATATGCATACACCGTCTATGTAAATGTTGAACTATTGTGAATTTACGTGAGGATTTTACTGAATATCTATCTATTTATCTATCTATCTATCTATCTATCTTATACCTATCTATCTATCTATCCGGAAAAAGTTGATTTACCAAAGACACTACGCATAATGGGAAAAACTGAGTATCTAAACTAAAGGCAAAAAAGACAAAACTTATTATTTTAGTTACCCAATAATATAGAAAATGGGCATTTTTTTCACTCCCGTTTTCTTCTACAGTTTCAACATGGACTTGGTTAATATCTCCTCATACCCCAAACCTTTTGACGCTTCCCTTCTAAAACAGAAATGAAACCACACTAATATACCCCCAATGTACTAAATTATATTAAATCTTTTGATGAATTTACAGCAAGTTACTGCAGCAATGTATCACTGTATATGTAGTATATACAGGTAGTGTATGGTGAAAAATTGGTCGGATTTAGACAGTTAGATAGATAGATAGATAGATAGAAAATAGATAGATAGAATGAGAAAGAGACCATGGTATCCTAGTCCAAATCCCAGTACTATTCACCTCTTTGTAAGACCATTGTGGATAAGCAGGAGAGAAAGCGAGAGAAAGAGATGAGAGAGGATGAAAGAAAGCGGATAGAAAAATAAGAAAGCCAATAGAAAGACATGGATAAACAACAGAGAAAATGAGGAACGAATGAGATAGATAAGAATGTAACGGAGGATAAGACGAGTGAAAGAGGAAGATAAACAATGTGAACCAGGAAGAGGGAGATGAGGGAAATAAAGAATATATAAGGAAGCAAACTAGAGAGAGAGAGAGAGAGAGAGAGAGAGAGAGAGAGAGAGAGAGAGAGAACCCGAAATAAACTGAGAGAAACAGAAAGAGACAGACAGACAGACATAAATAAAGAGACAGAAAGGGGGGGGGGAGTGGATAAACAAATGAGAGGAGAGAAAACAAGTGAAAGAGAGAGAAAGAGAACGCCCTTGGGAATTGGCTGGAGGTCAGAGTAAGAAGACCCACCCTGGGCGCTGCAACACTGCCAGGGAGAGCCACAGACACAGAGAGAGAGAGAGAGAGAGAGAGAGAGAGAGAGAGAGAGAGAGAGAGAGAGAGAGAGATAAAGGTCATTCTCTTACATAATCTGACCAGGAAATCAGAGTAAAAAAGTGAAAAGATTTACTGGGAGATTACAACAATTAACTCCGCAAGTGTAAGTAAGAGACTACAATATATAAAATGTTTACATATGTGTTCTATATCCTATACTTAATATATGTAATATATCTTAACTATATCCTGTTTGAGTTGTGAGCCAAATAGTGATGATAATTACCTGTATTAACTCTTGATGATAATAAAGGCACAACATGTAATTGATTCTTGGCTCACCTGAAGATTAGACATCCCAGCTTATTTCACCTGACGATTGATCAGCCTTATCCTAATCTAACCGAATCTTCAGGATAAATCAATTGAAGGGCTAATCTTCAGGTGATCCAATAAATCAGTTGAGAATTATCGTTCTAATTCGTTCTGTAATTTCACACTGCGTCATTTTTATTTGAAGTAAAGATTCCTCGGCCACCTTACTCTCAAAGCCTTAAGTTGTCCCCTATCCTGAGTCAACATGGAACCTCTCATCTAAGCTCATTCACTTAAGTTGATGACCATTATGGCGTCAAAATCACTCCGAGACTCTAGTTGGTACAATTAATCCTCTATAAATGACTGAAGAATCCGTATTTGGTGTGTTGTTTGTTTTTATCCCGTTTTGATACCCGGTCCCGGATTTTTAAAAGTTCGTGAGTAAAAATTTCCCTCCAAGTACTTGAAAATATGAAGAAAAAAAAATTATTCGAATATTTACGTTACGAAACAAGAACGGAGATTATAATGACTTTAAAATTCCACTGTGTGCTTTCTCTTACCCACAGTCATGAGGAAAGAATTAACGAAAGAATCTTTGAAGAATCCGGATCCAGGGTGCCATTCGCCCCAACCTCCCTACCACCCTCCCTCCCCCTCCTTACTCAACCGTTCGGATACCTGATCTGTTTTGGCTGTCAACATAGACT